CTGGAGTCTCACTCTGTCGCCCAGACTGGAGTGCAGTGGCCGCTCCCGGCCACCGTAGTCTCGGCAATCCTTCTGTCTCAGCCTTCCAAGTAGCCAGAATTACAGGCATGCGCTACCACGCCCGGCTGATTTTTTGATTTATTGTAGAGATGAGGTCTCGCTGCCCAGGAGGGTCTCGAACCCACGGGCTCAGGCAATCCACTCACCTCAGCCTCCCAAAGGTGCGAGATTACAGGCTGAGCCACTGAGCCCGGCTTTATTAACATTTTTATCATCTAGAAGTGGTTAACTTTATATTAACCTATTAAATCATACCAATATAAACATCCATCATTGTCCCAAAAGGCATCAGGGTCTATTGGTTAAGAGCATAGACTCTGGAGTCATTGGGCATTTTTCTATGTAAATTTGGGAAATTTAGTTAAATACAAACTAAGGCTCATGCTTATACTATCTTATGTGAGAGGGACCCCCCAAAATGGAACTTATTTATTAAAAATTGTGTATTTATTTTCCCATGTTTAAACTTCAGTCACCTTCAAAGTACTCTCTGTTTGATGCAATGCACATATCAAGATGCTTTTTCCACTGCTCAGAACAGTTTTTGAACTTGTCGATTTTGATGCCTTTTAGTGCTACTGCTGTGTTTTGTTTCACCTCTTCCACATCAGCAAAACATTTCCCTTTGAGGGCTTATTTCACGGGGGTAGGGGGCTGCGGGAAATCACTCAGAGTGAGATCAGGTGAATAGGAAGGGTGAGACACAGAGGTCATGCGTTTTTGGTCAAAAATTGCTGAACACTTAGCACGATATTGAGCAGATGCACTCTTAGATCTCCCATCATGAAATGGGCAAATGTGTTTAAAGAATCTCCAAAACAAAATCACTGAAGCCTAACGCAGACTCTCACAACAACACTAGCTGGTACACTGATGCCCATGGGTTCCTAGAAAACTTACCTAGTGGGGGAAGCCTGTACCATAAGGGCCTACCCTCCAAAAAATAATTCTGGGTTTTTAGGTGTGTCCCTCATAAGTTCGTTGTATTAAAGGCATTAATGTGAACAGTCAAACCAAAGTTAATAGTGTACAAAAAAATATATAATGTATGACTTTTTTTCTCAAACGTAAGCAGTTAGTTTTAGGACTTCCTCCAATGTTTCAAGGAGTACTCCAAGCCACAGAATGAATAAAGTACATTTTCTTGAAGTTCCAATTTTGGTACAGAATTTTGCTGTGAGAGGGTAATGGTATTTAAATATACTTTAATATAAAATGGGTAAAGATAAAGCAGAGATAAAAACAAAAAACGTTTAAAAATAATTTCTAACTTAGAGAAATGGTACTAGAAATGGTACTACTACAAAATAACCTTTATTTTTTTCTGGGTCTTTTGAGAGTAAATTGCTGATGTAATAGCCCCCTGCCCCTAAATATTTTAGAGTGTATTTCCAACAAATAAGGACATTATTCTACCACAGTGTTTCTCAGTATGTGGTCCTTGGATGACTGAGTGGTCCACAGGACCGAAACTATTTTCACAATGATACAAAGACATTATTTGTCTTTTTCACCATGTTGACATCTGCACAGGTGTGCAGAAACAATGGTGGGGTCTTGGCGCAGTGACTCATGCCTGTCATCCCAGCATTTGGGAGGCCAAGGCAGGAGGATCACTTGAGCCCAGGAGTTCAAGATCAGGCTATATAGTAAGACCTCGTCACTCCAAAAAAATAAAATTAGCCAGGCATGGTGACATGTGCTTGTAGTCCCAGCTTAGGCCAAAGGATCGCCAAAGTTCTAGGAGGTTGAGGCTGCAGTGAGCTGGAATCATGCCACTGCACTCCAGCCTGGTGACAGAGTGAGACCCTGGCTAAAAAAAACAAAAACAAAACTGGTAAGCACTGCCGCCTCCTGAGCACCAAGCAAGGCAGTGGTGCCAAACTGTGTCAATCTTCATTGTATTCTTCACTCTCATAGATTCAGGATAAAGGTTAAAAAAGCCATTGTCATTTCAGACTTGAAGCAGTAAAAAGTCATTTTGTTAAATGTCAACAGTTGAGTGCATGTCTTCTTATTATATTGAGTGATAAAAAGTACACACAATGCTCTCCTGCTGCATTATCTTTTTTTTTTCAGGTTTGTAACAGTTTCTTTTATTTTTTAATTTTAGGTTTTTAAAACTTGGGTTTTTTATCTTTTAATTTTTTTATTTTAAAGATGTGGGGTACAATTCAATGTTAGGTATACAAATGTTCATTATGCAGATACCCTTGTTGATGAAGTGTGCCCCCGCTTCCCCAGGGAGATTCCTACTACTGACAACCCCGCTTCTCTGCCCCACTCCCGGCAGTTTCCCACTACTGTCAATCTTTCTCTCATAGTATTAGAATAATTGTTCAAGGTCTGCTAATGAGTGAGAACATGTAATACTCAGTTCTGTGTTTCTGTAAAAGATCACTCAGTATTATAGACTCTAAGTCCATCCAGATGCCGTGCAGTTCATGATTTTTTCTTCTTTATGGCTGCATAATATTCCATTGTGTATACATACCACATTTTTTATCCAGTCCTCTTTTGATGGGCAGCACCATGTTCTTACTACTGTGAACACTGCGATAAACATACGTGTACAGGTATCTTTTTTATAGAGTGATTTGAGTTCTTTCGGGTATATTCCCAGTGGGGGTTTGCGGGGTCATATGGAAGGTCGATTTTTAGATCTTTTAGGAATCACCACAGTTTTCCACTCCTGCTGCATTATCAAAGCATGAAATTGTTCCCAGTGAAAAGCTCCAGCCGGGCTTGGTGGCTCAGCCTGTAATCTCACGCCTTTGGGAGCCTGCAGATTCAAGATCAACCTGGGCAACTTGGCAAGACCTCATCTCTACAATAAATCAAAAAAAATTAGGCAGGCATGGTAACACACACCTGTAGTTCCAGTTACTTGGAAGGCTGAGGTGGAAAGATCGCTGGAGCCCAGCAGGTCGAGGCTGTGGTGGCCAGGAGCAGCCACTGCACTCCAGTCTGGGCGACAGAGTGAGACTCCAACTCAAAAAAATAAAATAAAATAAAGAAAAAAGAAAAGCTCCATGTAATTGTTTGAGTTGTGTGCTAAACTAGCCAGTTTTACATAGAACACCATCTTTACTTGAAAGAATGGATATTTGACTTTTTTTGGAAATTACTTCAAAGAGAACTATTTATATCTAGTGATAAAATTCAAGCTTACAAGCAAAAACTAGAATTTTGGAAGACTTGTATTTTTTACATTGAGCCTGACAGCTCAGTGATGTAACTATGATTTTTTATGTTGCACAAAGAAATATGTCACCGTTTAGAAGATCTGTATAACTCTAAACTAATATTTTCCAAATGATCAATGCATGATGTTACAGAAGTGTGCATGGGCAGAGCACAAGAGGAAGCAGTGAATTTTAATGTAAATAAGTAAAAAGTAAGAACAGCTTACTGATATAGACATTGCAACAAACCTCAAAGATATTACCCCTTGTCAAGTTTTGTTGTGGTGTTGAAAATAGACACAGTTATCTGAAAAGGCTATTAAAATACTCTTCTCTTCCAAATACGTATCTGTGTTAGGAAGTTTCCTTTACATATTTTACCCAAAGAGACATATCACAAAGACTAAATCCAGATGTCTTCTATTAAGACAGAAAACAGACTTGCAAAAATGTGAATGTAAAACAATGTCACTCTTTTTAGAAAAATTATTTTTCATAAAAAAGTATCTTACTTATGGTTAAAGGATGGGCTTATTATTAAACCATTTAATATTACATTCATTTTTGTTTATAATGTGGTAATTGGATGGATAAGCAAAGAAA